TCTTCTCCTTTTCTTTCTTTTCCTTCTCTTTCTCCTCTTTCTCCTTCTGCTCTCTCTCCTTCTCCTCCCTCACCTTCTTCTCTTTCTCCTCCTTCTCCTACTTCTCTCTCTCTTCCCTCTCTTTCAGCTCTTTCTCCTCCCTCTCTTTCAGCTCTTTCTCCTCTTTCTCCTTCTTCTCTCTCTCCTTCTGCTCCCTCACCTTCTTCTCGTTCTCCTCTCTTTCTTTCTTCTTTTAATAATTGTTTATGAAATAATTTGTTCAAAATGAGTTATTTTGGTTAACCATAGTTAAGTTTGAAAAAGGTGTGTGGTTAGTTGTTAGTAGAATTTTAAGAATGTATTAAAATAATATTAAAATAAAATGATTAAAATTGATTTGATTTAAAAGTAAGAGATAAATAATTGAAAATGATTAGAAATGATAGGTAGTTAAAATTATGTGAGTGGATGAATAGTGAATTAAAGTTGATGTGAGTCACAAAATTTTGATGACATAGTCAAAGATCTTGAAAAATGACCGACTTCGCAGCTACCCCGTCCCTTTCGCAGATCGGCGGCACAACCACTTTCGACCCGGGAGATATCCAGTAGCCGGGGCCTCTCGACTCAGAATTCCCAGCTTTAGATCGATCTGTCATTCCGGTAAGCAAAAGATCCAGAACTCTTAAACGAACAGGGGAGCAATTTGAAGTCCAAATCCCTCCGAACCCTTTGAATGAGAAATCTAGGGCACCACAGCCAATTAAGTGGACCTTCCGTAACATGGTCAATAAGCAACAACATCACGTGGAGATTCATTCAGATGATGAGGATCAGGAAAACGACACAGTCAAGAATGTATTCGTGGATCAATCGAGCCCTTTAACGGACATTAAAATAGCTCAAAGCTTCTTTGATCAGATTAACAGTGAGTGGCGAAATGCGGTTGTGTTGAAAACTTTTGATGAGTCACTCACTATGCCGTCCCTGTACAACCGACTGTCTAAAATGTGGCCTTTTATGGTAGGGTGCAATATGAAAGACCTCGAGAATGGTTTCTACTTGCTACATTTTTGACTCCATGATGATTCCGTGAAGGTCCTTACGGGCGGTCCTTATATGGGTGGCAGTAGTTATATGCACGTTCAACCATGGACACTTGACTTTGAAGCAACGAATGAGGAGTTAACATCGACAGTAGCTTGGATTCGGCTACCCAGTTTGACGGCACATTTGTATCATAAAAAGATCTTCCGCACTATTGGCCAGATTGTGGGAAAGTGGTGAAAATCGATTAACAAACCGCGGCCCTAACACGGAGTAAGTTTGCACGGCTCGTGGTTATGGTAGATCTAACGAAGCCTCTCTGTGTTAATTTCTCCATTAATGGACGGAGCCAACGTGTGGTCTACGAGAATCTGCCTACTATTTGTTTCAATTGCGGCAGAATTGGCCATTCAAGCCACGGTTGTTTGTATACCGCGAAATTTTCGAAGAGCGGTACATGAGCTCAAACTGCTAAAGTTTCTCAATCAGACAATGAGGTCAATGACGGTACCGAGGGCCTGAAGGCGGTGGGTAAAGTAGGAGAGGACCCAGTTTATGGGCCGTGGATCCAGGTACCACAGCGTACACGGACATACAATAAACGGGACCAGGGGATGGGAAAAGAGTTCAACCATGATACCTCACGTTCGAAGTTGAGTAAGGGATCTCGGTTTGAGCTTTTGTCTAACGTTAGATCGAAGGACCACCCTCAGACATTTGAATTTGGAGCCCCATCCGCGAAGAATAATGGTAGGGCTGGATCTACGACATCAACGGGTGTACGGAAGGATCGAGATTGCCATACAGTGAAGAGCCGAGTTAAGAATAAGGGTAAGGCACCAGCTGACAATGCGGCCCAGGGAGCTAATAATGTTACGACTCTTGGACCTATGGGTACTTTATCTTATGAAGGAGCAGGCACCTAACCGGGGGTCGGTCAAGGGTCACGGATCGGATTAGAACAAAAGCAGGCTGGATGCCAGGGTCATACCCCAGGACCGTGCTAACAACGTTCAGATAGGCGTGGGGCTTGACCCGAACAAACACCGTGCAGTTTGTAACACCCTGCTATGTCATAATTATCAGAGTTAAAATTTCAAAAAATATTTTATTAAAAATACTGATTAATTTGTAAAATCGTAGTTCGGAGTTCTACCATAACGTTAACTTTACTTTGAAAACCGTTATTTTAGTTTTTAAGAAAAACGGGTTATCATAATATAAACAATCCGACTGGTAAATCGGATCAAAAAGCTATGTTTGACAAACAGTAAAAGTCAGCAGAAATCGTAGCGTGGCAAAATATTTAGCTCCACTACGGGAGATAGTAACAACACTGCTATGCCAAATTCAAACTGTATAAACATGATCCTGAACCGTCCGTCAGCTCACTCCTCTGGTCCGACTATGTGACCTGAAAAAAAAAAGCATATATAACATAGGGCGTGAGCACTAAAGTCCACTGTGCTCCGTAGGAACTCATACTAAAGTAAACAGTGAAAATAATTGCAATATCATGATCCTGGCATATACATAACCATCAACATGAACCGGTAAGCCATTACCATCACATAATCGTTACCTCATAACCGTTACCTCATCTGTCAGCATGAAAATGCCGGACACCATGTGCACACTCTAGTGGGCAGACTAGGCCACTAGAACCCAGAATGGACCAGCGACCATTCCAAGCGGATACATAACATAATGTGATACATACCTCAAACATGGTACCGTAATTATAATCAATTTAATACCCAGTCTGAGTCCCCACCTGAATCGTCTATATGAAATTGAAAGTGCTGATAATCGTGAACTGTTCAAACTGTAACATAATATAAACAAATACTAAGTACTATGCTCAGACTGATTAAAATAGTTGTTTAATATGTTAAGATGCTCGACTTGATCTTGACATGACCTCTAGACTTAACTGGTATAACCGAAATGGGTTTAAAATGGAACTGGACTAACATAAAATTACTAAACATGACAGGACCCGGAATTTAACTGAAATCTTGACATAAACATGAACCGGGACATTAAACATTAAACCATAAATTAAATCAGTCTGAATCGGCTGGTCTGCGGTTTGGCCGGACCGTCGGCCCGCTGTGGCCGGGCGGTCGGCCGCTGGCTTGGCCAACCGGCTCGGTCCCGTGCTGGGCTTGCTGGAGCCCG